AAAACTTTACAAACTTATTAATGCTTGGCCAACTAGACAAAAAGCCTCCTTAAGATAGGTTTATCTCTTGCACATCCTACATAAATCTTGTGTACACATTATACGGTGACTAGAGAGAACGTCTCATAGATACTTAAGATTGATTTAAATTTTAAATTCGCAAATACATCCTTCGACAATGGTCTGAAGCTCTTTGAAAACTCCTCGTCGATAATCACAAATTTAATCTGGCAAATTAATAATTCTCTATTTTTATATACAGAATATATATATGGCTAACACTATTTTTGTCCTTCTCATTTGAATGCAAATAATTGTTAATGCAAACCACGTTATCTTTAATGCCCTGTCTAAGAAAAATCGATCAAACTCAGAATTTAATTTCGAGTAAAAGATAACTTTGGCGAGAAATAATTAATTGAATCGTACATAGCGTTAGATGGGAATCATATCGATGCAAAGTAAATGGGTTAATAAATAATTATAGGCAAAATAAAAGAGGGAAACAGCGTTTCCTATATCCCTGCGTCGATTTCATTGGAAAAATTATCGTAAAGGAGTGACGCGTTCGGCGACGCTGAAAGATCAGCGGAAGGGAAGATATTGGAAAGTATTTTCGTAGCCAAGTCGTGGTATGAAATTCAAATGGATGTATTTACAAAGGCTAGGCAGGCCAGCCTGCAACGGACGTTATACTCTTCTGGACGAAGGAGATAGGTTACCGTTGCTGAGCTAGGGGACATTGGAAAGGGGTGGATGGGTCAGGTTGGAATAATCGCGCCGTTTATAAGCCGCTGGTGCGTCGTTCAGTCTTCCGGTTATGCATTAAGATGACGGGTAACGGCTGTTACTATGTCGGAAGACTGCCAGCATCAGGATCCAGGGATAACGACGCTTCTCCAGCAACGTTTCGATCGGTTGTTTGTAATACCTAATGAACATGTTAATGGCGTATACTAAACATCCCTTAGGTACAACTTTATTGCAACCAATTGTCAGCCTGCCACCTTTGATGACGTCAACGACTATAATTCGTCTCGATAGTTATCACTAGATTGCGGGTTTTCATGCAAATTCCTATTTTTATTGATAGAATTAATGAAATGGGAGCTCTCTAGAGGAATGTCTCAACACCCAAATATAATAATTTGTATCCTACTTTAAGCATTTCTTATATTTAAAAAATTGAAACTTCCTATAAATGCATAAATATCCGCAGTCTAGTTGTCACTCTCATTTAAATCGAGAATAATTTTCGACAGATTTTCAACCCTCGAAGCAACTATTTAGAAAATATTTTAGATGAATTCCCTTATTCTTTAAAATAATTCAACACACTAAATACGCAGTTAAACATTGTTTAGTCCGATAGATAAGCTGAGACTCGCCGAACGAAGACCGGAAAGGTTACGAAACAGGATTAGCATCGTTTAAAAGACAGTACGAATTGCGGTCATACGTAAATTATACTAAATGATCGACATCTGTGTATTAAGACGATTAACAGTCGTAAGGTTTTCCCTCGTGCTTGGCGCGGAAATAAGATGTCGGATGTAACAGTAAATATTGCATTGCATTTATCAGTTGTTTCACAACGTTCAGATTTCTTGTTCGTAAATACAAACCGGACCGGTGTAAATTATTAAGAAGATATTTCCTGATAGAAACCAATATGGAAGTATGTTAAATACACAATTATTACGCACTAACGATGACTCGTATTTTCTATTTTTGCAACTTGCTTTTGCGACAAACGTCCCGGGCGTAGAATTGATTTAAACGAAACGCACGCGCAGAATTCTACTTCGTGCGCCATATTGGCCCCTCTCGGGCTGGTGTTCGTTCACAAGACCGTGGTTAGGTTTTATCAGCGTGCAGAGCATATGGGAACGCGACGTGGGAACAGAAAGGGAGCGGGAATTACGAAAAAGGAAAGTGCGTTTTGTCCTAGGCCTGCCAGGGAACTCGTCGGTGATGCTAATTGGCGGCTCCACGCGTTCGGCCACTTGCCAAGTTCCGGTCGCTCGCGATGCATTTTGGTTATTCCACAAACTGCTTGCGTCGCGCGAAACTTGGCATTATTTTCCGTGCGACGGAGACCCCGCGGGTTACTTGAAATTTTTATGTTTCTTGCCGTCGCGAAACTGCTTTAATCAGAATTCGCCCACCATTTCGAGCTCCTCGATGCGCATATTTCAAATTTAAGATGCTAAAAATAAGGAACGCGGTCGAGAAATTGTACAGAGTTCCTCTAGTCTGGGCCTGAAACGACGGATAGTTTTTTAAACGCGTTCTTTCAAAGACTGGGTAAACTATTTTAAATTAATACTTTGCACCGAAATTTTAATTTGTTTCAATACAGAACAAAAAATATTAAACGTAGCAAAAAAAATGATTCCTGTAAATATTGTCGGTGTCGAAACGAAAGGAAACGATTGTTATATTTTTTTCACAGTGCAAATTGCAAATGAACAATTTTAGCGGCGCGACTTTGCAAGACAATTCTCGTTCATCGTTTCGTACGCCCGAATTTATACACTTTCGCATTGTTCGTATCGCGGCATAAATTTAATACGTCTCCTATAAATGTAGAAACGGAAACACGGCAATTTCATAAAATACGTGAAATTAACTGAAACAGCTGGCGTTCATATTAGTTAGTATCAAAGCGTCTGGTGTGAATTGCAAGTCAGTTATAACGAAGGGGCAATTTCGTAAAATGTTACGTACATTTTCGGAAACTCCGGTTTCGCGCTCAAATTTCACTAGGTTGTTTTATCATATGCTAATAAGATTGTAAAAGTATTTCTCGCGTGTTAAATAATTAAATCCCGTAGAAAAGGGCACGGCTTGAACATGAATCGCGTTTCTAACGAACCGACGACGAATCGCTTTTCGAGTAAATTTCCATTCGGGGACTCTTAATATTTATTTCGACTAAAATATCTAGCGATTTCTTTTCCAAAGCGATTATACTGTTCAGGAGACACGAAACGGGTATAAAACGCCTTAATATTACACCGGAAGACATTGTTCTCCGAATTAATTGTATTTCTTTTACGTTTCGCGCGATGGTAACCGAGCTTTCTGCGATATTTCTGCGCTTTTCTTCGGATAGTGGCAATTAACGTTTTACACTAAAGGGCGGTGTCGTTTTTTAACGGGAGCGGAACCGGTGCCTGGCGAAACGTAATTATTTCTGACAGCCACGGTGTTCCCAGGAATCTTATTGTTGAAAAGGACCTTAGATAGATTTCCACGGGTTTCCTCGACGTTACCTGCCGGTTTTAATTGAAGCCCATTACTTAAAACCAACTACTGATATTTTAAAACGCGGCTGAAGCTCTGTCGACGCAGATAGGTATTACTAAAAGTGCTCGGGAGCAAAAAAAGAAAAAAGAAAAAAAGGAATCCGGAGCATAGATATCCAGAAAGGTTGTTTAACCCGTTGACCCCGTTAACCGCCCACGAAAAAGTTAAGTGAATTTCTCTCTGTTTCTTCTCCTTTCTACCCTATCCACTCGTCTCCCTGTCACCGACTATCTCGAGCCTCAAGAGTCTCCCTCGTTCACCGAGGCAGTTAGTTAATTAATTAGCAAAATTACGCGAACGGATAAAAACGGATACTCGTCTGGAGCGCGGGGCACGGTCAATCTTATCGAGTTTATACAGGCTGTCCCGTTTAACCAGAACGTTTAAATTATTTCCGTCTCGGTTAACGAAAATGAAAAGAAAGTGTAAGATTCGATATTTTGGTTTTTTAACAAGTTACACCCTGTATGGTGGATCTCGATGGCTCTGAGGAAAACGTTCGATTGCTAATGTTTCTCCCCGAAAGCCACTAATTACGGAATGATGCACGAGGGCTAAGAATGCCGTCTCAATGGAATCCGGATAAGGCTCGAGTGTTTGCCCACTTGAAAACATAGCTCGTCGATCTACCTAACCTTCGATCGGCTGAATCGGACTTACGGGACTTCTATAAATTACAGATCTTCGAATATCTCCGCCATTAGCTCCCTGGCTACGTCTTTGCCGCGAATATGCGCAGAATGTTCACCTTAACCCGGAATTCCGGCATTCGCTGATTTCTCTACGTGCTTCAAACTCTCTCGGCTACTGTTTGCTATCTCTTAGAAGTTGGTAACTGGTTGCGTTAACCCCGTCAAAAATTTCTTATCTGGCATAGCACCGTTAAAGAGCAACGAACTGAGTCCTATTGCAAAGGAATGGATCATCTGGGCAAAGGAATTTAAAAAAATGAAAGTCTGGAAGAGACGAACTTTTTTTTAAAATTCATAATTCAAGATCGAACGAACCCCAGTAAGGTGTAATTTAATTACTTTCTTGCTCTTGCTTTTTAATAGGCTTTAATTTCTTTCGCGGTTGTCCTGTATTTGGTCGCTCCGTACCGTTTAAAGTGATTTACAGTAATTTAGATACCTGTTATCGTAAAGGACATACACAGAAACGAACCGACGCTTGAGAAGTTCGTGGCAATTTCTTGGCTACTTATTCAGGAGTTATTCCCCCGAGCCTGTTATAAAAATGTGCGTGCAACGAGAAAGAACTTCTCGGTAAGTGTTGTAAAATATTTGCACACGCAATGTTCGATTCGAAAATTATTTTTGATCGAATTATTTTTCGAACGATCCGAGATAATGGTTTCTCCTAAAGTGAGAACAAAATTGAAAACTATGGACTCGAAACGACTGCAAGTATTTGCAATTACGAAATGTATGCAAATACTATATACATGGGTGTTCTAATTCTTTTGTAAAGTTAGTACGAATACACAGAATCAGAATAACTGTGACAATTTTTAGAACGACTTGTAAACTTTCTGTTATAAAATTAAGTAAGTTGGTTAACCTTGCTTTAAAAAATTTTTAATCACAGTACGGAACGATGAAATCCTCTTCTAATATTTCGATTGAAGTATATCAAATGAGGAATAAGTATATTAGTAGGTTAGCGATTTATTATTTATAGTGACTCACTTTGTATGCACCTAAATCTTGAACCATGCAAGCTAAAATCGTTTCCCTTCCGACTGGCGCAGTTACGTTGGCGATGGGTTCCTTGAAATTTGGATCTAGGAACAAGAAAAACAAAACCATTAATGTTTAAAGGGGTCATCTTTCATTATCTTCCCAAGAAGCAAAGATCTTCTTTAAATAAACTCTAAGTACTCCACTTTTTCGTTAATATATTATTCTCGATAAAAATTGTATCTTTTTTAATAATATTTCGTTGGTAATCCGTTCAACTCAAGTACAAATACTGTAACAGTTTCCTTTGCGAGGTGAAACATAAAATCTTGGATTAATGGTTCTTCTAAGTAACTTGACAATTCTAGTTGTCTAACTGATATATTCGTTTGCATTAACGTATAGATGGAAGCTTTCTGATTAAGCACCGAGCTGCCGATTGAATCGAAAACTGTGTCCATGCATCCAGTTCAATCTATTGCGGTTTCCTTTCGCTTCGAATAATTCGCTTTAATTAATCACGTGACTCCAGTTGAATCTTAACAGATTTCACGTGGGCACATTTAGCAAAGTAGAGTTTGTTCGGCTGTAATCCTCGAATTAACCAGTCTCATGTAATAAAATCGACGTTCCATTCTCGTTTCGTAGACATTGCATGCATAAACAAATTTTAACATTCAAAAATTTGTAATTTAATTTCTAACGACTTTGGTTACCATTACTTGTAAATGAGATGTCGTATATTTCAAATTCTTCTTTATTCTATAAGAGATTTTTTCGTTAACAGTAGGATTATTAAATTAAGCAGGTTCTAAATTTTCAATTTAAAAATTGCTCAAACCTATGACTTTATGTTTACCAAAAATTATTCACGATTTCTATTGGAATATTTAAGGAACTAAAATTATGAATTTGTCTGCCCCCGTCATTTTTAAAGTCACGTACGATAGATATGCTTTTGATGGATTGGGAGAAAAGAATAAGAAATAGAAGAGAAAAATCGTAGAACCGAATTATTTTTCGAGACCAGGAGCCTAAAATGATGGCGGCGTTGGTAACCATTTCGTGGCAGCCGATCCATCAAACCCGCCTAAATCGAGACTCTTAATACGCTCGCATTTCCCGCGAGAGCTGCTCCCCCTCACCGTATGCACCCTCGATGGATAGGCACGTACGATGGAATTATGGTTCCCCTATGCTCCCATTACTAAGCCATCTACGTTCTGTGTGTTATACGTGCCCGTAGCTTTTCTCCTTTCTCTGCCCTTAACGACACCCTTCACTGTTTTATGTTCTCCGCAAATAATCTCCGTGTAACTGACCGTGCATTCACCTTCGGGAATGATCTTCGACCCTCCGCTAATGCGTGACCCAAACGGGTCAGAAAACGCACTTAGGTTCGCGCGTTACTCGATTACAGTGGTCAGCGTGTACGATCTTTATCCAAATAATCGACGCTGATCCCTGTTGGGGAAACAAAGTCAAATTAAAATATTGACTTTCTCGAAACACAAACTGAGGGTGGAAATTTTTATATTTTATACCCGACAGCCTTTTATCCGGATCGTAATTTTAACAGGCTGTTGTTGGGAAACTGAACATAAACTTTTTTTTTTTTGGCTTCATTATTTCACTAAATTTATAATTTTAACGAATTTAAAAGGAAGTTCTATTTTAACGTGTTTAATTTACCGTGCTCGAATTAAATAAATAATGTCTCGTAATTCTAAAACCGGATCCACATAATTTTTTCTCCGTTATATCCTGTCGCGGTACACAGAAAAATAAAAGGAAGAAAAAGCATAGTCACAAGGAATACAAATTACCGTTTAATTTCTGTTTGTGGAAATTTTCTCCCTGATTCGAGAAGAAAGTTCACGGAATAATTCATGAATGTTTGAGTCCGTCTGATATTCTCCTTAATAAATCAAATCTTAGCATAATTAATTGCATAAACAGGAAGAATGTTCGACTAAGGATGCCAGGGAACCCCGAACGACGTTAACAAACAGTAAATGTATTTTCAACGTTTTAATTCCACGAAGCTTTGGGTTTGTCGGGGTTTTGCAATTATTTTTCGAGATAACAATAAAAATAACACACGGATATTGTAAACGTTGCTTGAACCGCCGTCAATAAACAAAGCCGTTTACGTTATTTTAAAACCATGCACTCGAAAGGTGTATCAAAGTAAAAAATAAATAAAAGATCCGAAGCGTATTCGTTTCGAATAATGTTTGTCTATGACACATTTTCGTAACAACTGTTTCCGGTTATGCGTACCCTTTTGGCGAGACCATGAATGCATTTTACAGAAAAAGCTGTATGCCACTCGCACGCATATTACATACGAAAAAAGCTTCAGAGTGCTTCCTTTTGCGCGCGAGAGCACAAAGGGCGCAAACGTTTCTTTAAGGGTGATGTTTTCTAAACGTTAGGTACAATTAAACGTTTATTTATTTAATCTCACCGTTTTAGAGGTGAAAAATACTTATATGTTTCATTACTTTATTATCTTAAAAAGATAAAATTTAAGGATGTGAGCGAAGTGGAGAAATGCGAAATCAGTTAAATTAACGCTTTCACAGGTTATTCTGAAACAGATACATATACTTCTTTTTTTAACCGTGGTAACAAAGTTTAAGGAACCAAACTACCCTTAAAAGTTCCACCCTCTAATGCCATCTTGAACACTGTTAGGGATAGAGGAAACTTCATTCGATGAATTTTTTATGGTTTTTGAAGGGAAATAATATGTTGGACGCATTGATAATACGTGAGTCAGAGAGTCCAATATTTTTGTGTTGGTTATTTTTATGTTGGTAAAATTTATTCTCAAGAATTGTACAACTTATGCGTTTTTCTTGCAGAGTCAATTATTAAATTAATTTTATGCTTCTATTCTATAAAATGACTTTCTTGTCACAAGTCTAATCTTTTATTAATTCTTATAATTATACAGGGTGTATCGCCACCCTTGGGAAAAATTTTAGTGAGAGATTCTAGAGACCAACATAAGACGAAAATCAAGAATACTAATTTATTGATGGAGGCTTCGTTAAAAAGTTATTAATGTTTAAATTTCCGCCCGTACTGAATTGTTTTCTAGAAAGTGGGTAGGATTTCGAGGGTAGGTCTAGCCACCAAAAATGATTGTAATTGACCCCCGCAACCAGAAATAATTTGTTAAGAACGATTTGAAATTTTTTTTTCCGCCGAAAAATTTCAGCACACCCCCAGTCGATTTTTCTTAAAAATTAGCTTTTCATTTCAAATACATTTGTTTGACGGTCTACACAAAAGTTTCCCAATACTTTTTTGTAGCTACCCATGGGCTCTGTTTCAGAAAAAAATTTCAAAGAGATACCTTTACTACAGTTTTAGAGGGTTTTTCTCACTTTAAGGTGTCAAGGAACAACTTTTCGAATAGTTTTGGTATTTCTACATATTCTTCGATAAAATACGAGTCGATTGCATTCAGGAGTTATGGCGTTTTGAAGATGCGCATGAAATTTCGGGTAAACATTTTTAACCACATATTATATTTTCGGCAAAGAATTTTTTTCTCGAAAGCGCGTAGAATTTCGGGGTATGTCTAATGACTAAAAATAATTGTAATTGACCGCTAGAATTAAATATAATTTTTTTAGTTTGATTTGAAATTTTTTAATTTCGTCTAAAAATTTCAGTACCTACTTGAATTTTTTTCTCGAAAGTGGTAAGGATTTCAGGGGTATATGTATTCATAAAAAATGTTTGTAATTGAGTCCCGCAACCAAAAATAATTTTTTCAAAATGGTTTGAAATTTTTTAATTTAATTTTTTAATAACTTTTTAACGAAGCCTCAGTCCAGAAATTGATATTCTCGATTTTCGTCTTATTTTTGCTTCTAGAATCTTCCATTAAAATTTTTCCCAGGGGTGGTCGAACACCCTGTATATTTGGCTTGCAACTTCCTTTGAATGAAGTTTTAGTATTTATCAAATAGAAACAACGACGATTCACGATCGAATCAAAAGGAGAACTAATGGCACGCGATCAAATAAAGTCCCACGCGCGAATATTCGCGAAATTTGCGTGGCTGTAAAGGCGATTAAACAAAAGAAACGTTCCGAGGAGCTGATAATACGGCGACTCGCGTGTCAGCTGGTAAAATAAATCAGAAGCAGATAACATAGAAATCGAGAATCTTAGGGCGAAGAAAACGCGAGGGAATCAGATTTTCGCGCCTCTGCGGAATTATTTTCCCCGCGAACGAGCAGAAATCACAGAAAACGACGGTCGTCGGGCTTCCCCGACCCTTTATAACGCGGCAAAATAATAAGAGTTTCGTCTGCTTAGTCTCGCGGGTACTTACATCCCTATTTATGACGACAGTATCTCCAACTTTTTACGCCGGATGCTGGTAAATATGCATTGCTCGATCCCCGTAGTCGAGAAATATTTTCTTCTTCGGCTCTCACTTCGTCCAATCTCGCGGCATGGCACACGATAATGGAGGAACATTTTCTCCCGTATCCTCTCCTTCCGTTCTCTGCTCGCGATTAGTCACCGAACTTGGGCGAATTTCCCGAACAACGAATAAAAATTTTCAGATTAATTCGTTAATTAGCTTTTCTTTTTGCTCGCTCGGTGACTCAAGGAATACTTCCGTCGTGGCTTCTAAACGATTTCCAGATAGCATGGATTCTCAAATACTTCTTAAACATAATCGTGACGAAAGAAATTCATCAAAAAAAATTTTAATTAATACTTTTCTCGCTTACAAATTAAAAATAATTTAACTTTTGCTGGGCCATATTGGATACCTTCGTCCTAAATTATATTTTCTGTTCTCGAATTTGTGTGCCTCACTTTTAATGAATGTCTGATGAAAAGCAATTTAGTGGCTTCGAATTCTTTCATAAAACGACGAATTATGAATTCTATTCCCCACAAATCGAACGAAGAACTTTAATAATGCCGAACGCGTGTGTATGTCACTTCACGATGACACGTGAGGCCGTATCAAGTACAAATGTCACGCGAATGACAAGAATGGCGGCCCCGACGATCAAAAGTTCTATTCTTATTGGGGAGACTATTTATTTACGTATATTCCCG